AGGTATCTCTTGACTTCCTACATTTGCATTCCAATCCCCTATAATGGAAAGGACATTTTTTTCTGTGTTTGTTCTACAAGATGCTGTAGGTTTTCATAGAACCAGTCAACTTCAGTTTCTTCAGCATCAGTAGTTAGGGCATAGACTTGGATTACTGTGATGTTGAATGGTTTGTTTTGGCAACAACTGAGGTCATTTCATTGCTTTTGAAATTGCATACACATACTGTATTTTGGAGTCTTTAAATCTACTCCATATCTTCTAAGGGATTCTTGTCCACAGTAGTGTATATAATGGCCATTTGAATTAAATTCCCCCATTTCCATCCATTTTAGTTCACTGATACCATCTTCTGTTTGACCACGTCAAATTTACCTTGATTCATGGACCTAACATTCCAGGTTCCTATATTATATTTTTCTTTAGAGCATCAGACTTTGTTTTTACCACCAGACACATCCGCAACTGAGCTTCATTTGAGCTTCGGTCCAGTTAATTCTTTCTGGAGCTCTTTGTTATTGCCCCTCGTTCTTTCCTAGTAGCATATTGGACATCTTCTGACGTGGGGGGGCTGGTCTTCTGGTGTCATATCGTTTTATGTTTTCATAATGCTCATGGGGTTCTTGCCACAAGAATTCTGGAATGGTTTGCCATTTCCTCCTCCAGTGGACCATGTTTTGCCAGAACTCTTTACTATGACCCACCAGTCTTTGGTGGCCCTGCATGATGTGGCTCCTAGTTCCATTGAGCTACACAAACACCTTCACCATAACAAGGCTGTGATTCATTGGAAATCTTATCAATTGCAGTAACACAAATAAATAATTATACTATGAATGTATTATTATACTACATGAATAAGCTTGACACAAGACACATACTGCATGACTAACTTATATGCAGATTATGAAATACTTGAACCAGAGGAAGATAAGGTAGAGAAGTGATTGTCAAGATTTTGCGGGTGAGAGAAGTGGGGAGATGTTGGTTAAAGGGTATAAAGTTTCAGTCTTGCAAGATGAATATATCCTGGTCATGTATGGCACAGTTGTTGTTTTTCAGTCCCTAAGTCTTGTCCAACTCTTTGCGACCCCATGGACCACAACATTTCTGGCTCCCACATCCTTCCTGTCTCCCGGAGTTTGCTCAAATTCATGTCCACTGAGTAGATGATGCTATCTAACCATCTCATCCTTTGCCTCTCCTTTTCCTTCTGCCTTCCATCTTTCTTAGCATCAGGGTCTTTTTAAGTGAGTAGGTATAGTTAATGATAATTTACTGTATACTCAAAACTTGCACGAGTCTAGATCATAAGTGCTCTCTCACACACAAAAAGTGTATCTGTGACATGATGGGTATATTAATAAGCTTGGTTTAAGTGGTAGCTTCCCAATATACATATATCAAATCATCACACTGAACATCTTACATATATGCAATTTATTTGCTTTTGTCAATTATACCTCAATAAAGTGGACAAATTACCAAAGGATTTGAATAGATACATTCGTTTACAAAGAAGATATACAACTTGTAAGAAGCACATGAAAAGAAGCACAACAGCATCACTTATTAAGCCATGCCAATCAAAACTATATTGAAACCCCAATATATAAAATAGATAATTAATAAAGACCTACTCATCAAAAAAACAAAAGAGTTCCAAAAAAACATCTATTTCTGCTTTATTGACTATGCCAAAGCCTTTGACTGTGTGGATCACAATAAACTGTGGAAAGTTCTGAAAGAGATGGGAATACCAGACCACCTGACCTGCCTCTTGAGAAACCTGTATGCAGGTCAGGAAGCAACAGTTAGAACTGGAGATGGAACAACAGACTGGTTCCAAATAGGAAAAGGAGTACATCAAGGCTGTATATTGTCACCCTACTTATTTACCTTATATGCAGAGTACATCATGAGAAATGCTGGGCTGGATGAAGCACAAGCTGGAATCAAGATTGCCAGGAGAAATGTCAATAACCTCAGATATGCAGATGACACCACCCCTATGGCAGAAAGTGAAGAACTAAAAAGCCTCTTGATGAAAGTGAAAGAGGAGAGTGAAAAAGTTGGCTTAAAGTTCAAGATTCAGAAAGCTAAGATCATGGCATCTGGTCCCATCACTTCATGGCAAATAGATGGGGAAACAGTGGAAATAGTGGCTGACTTTATTCTTTTGGGCTCCAAATCACTTCAGATGGTGACCACAGTCATGAAATTAAAAGATGCTTACTCCTTGGAAGAAAAGTTATGACCAACCTAGACAGCATATTAAGAAGTAGAGACATTGCTTTGTCAACAAAGGTCCATCTAGTCAAGGCTATGGTTTTTCCAGGGGTCATATATGGATGTGAGAGTTGGACAGTGAAGAAAGCTGAGTGCTGATGAATTGAGGCTTTTGGACTGTGGTGTTGGAGTAGACTCTTGAGAGTCCCTTGGACTGCAAGGAGATCCAACCAGTCCATGCTGAAGGAGATCAGTCCTGGGTGATCATTGGAAGGACTGATGTTGAAGCTGAAACTCCAATACTTTGCCACCTGATGTGAAGAGCTGACTCATTTGAAAAGACCCTGATGCTGGAAAAGGTTGAAGGCAGGAGGAGAAGGGGATGACAGAGGATGAGATGGTTGGATGGCATCGTGGACTCAATGGGCATGAGTTTGAGTAAATTCTAGGAGTTGGTGATGGACAGGGAGGCCTGGCATGCGCTGGTCCATGGGGTCACAAGGAATTGGACATGACTGAGCGACTGAACTCAACTGAACTGAAAGACCTACTGTATAGCAGAGGGAGTTGGATAAGGGAATGGCAACCCACTCCAGTATTCTTGCCTGGAGAATCCCACGGACAGAGGAGCTTGGTGGGCTACAATCCACGGGGTTGCAAAGAAATGGACACAACTGAGTGACTAACACACCCGTACACACATAGCAGAGGGACCTCTCCTCCATACTCTGTAATGACCTATGTGGGAAAAGATTCTAGAAAAGAGTAGAGCCCCTTGGACAGTAAGGAAATCAAACCAGTCAATCTTAAAGGAAATATTCATTGGAAGGACTAATGCTGAAGCTGAAGCTCCAACACTGGCCACCTGATGCGAAGAGCTGACTCTTTGGAAAAGACCTTCATGCTAGAAAAGATTGAGGGCAGGAGGAGAAGGGAGTAACAGAGGATGAGATGGTTGGATGCCATCAGTGACTCAATGGACATGAGTTTGAGCAAATTCTGGGAGATAATGAAGGACAGGAAAGCCTGGTGTGCTGCAGTCCATGAGGTCACAGAGTTGAATTCGACTTAGTAACTGAACAACGACAACATGTATATGTATAACTGACTCGCGTTGATGTACAGCAGAAACTAGCACAACATTAAATCAAGTGTACTTCAGCTTAAAAAATCTGAATTGAAACCAGTTCAAACACACTAGGATGACCAGAATAACAAGAAGTAAAAATCAGAAATGAGTGCGATGATAGTTCAAGAGGATGTGTAGCTCACCCTCCCACCCTGAACACATAAAAAACTACATCCATACATGGAATGATTCTCAGTGAGCACTACTGGGAAAGTAGCATAAGGACTTCCCTGACAGCCCAGTGGTTAAGATGTCACCTTCCAGTTCAGAGGTTGTTGGTTTGATCTCTGGGTCAGGAAATTAAGATCCCATATACTTTGAGGCCTAAAAACCAAAACCTAAAGCAGAAGCAATATTTTAACAAACTCAATTAAAGACTTTAAAAGATGGTCCATATCAAAGAAAATCTTTTTTTAAAAAAAGAGATACGTTTGACATCTTTAGCATTATTATTTCTGGAAATGTATTTTGCTTTGAAATTTATTTTATTTGATGTTGATATAAATATTCCAGCTTATTATTATTACTATTTGTGTTGTATATCTTTTTTGTCAATTTAGTTTTAACCTATAATAATTTAAGTACTATTGTGGGAAGCATTGGCTTCCCTGGTGGCTCAGATGGTAAAGCATATGCCTGTGATGCAGGAAAAGCAAAAAATTAAGTTTTCAAAGAAATCCATTATAGTAATTTCTATCAGTTGAAATTAGTTTGATATGATTGCTACAATTTTTGTCTATCAAATCATTTTGTGTTTTCTAAATTATTTTCTTTATGATAATGATTACATATGTGATTATTTGATGTGTTTTTTCCTATGTTGCTCATTTTCTGTTTTCAGAGGAACTGTTTGAATACTTTAAGAATTCCATTTAAATATTGCAGAGAAATTCCTGATCCCAAACATGTTTATCTGTTTTTATTACTGGATATGTAGATTTGCACATCCTATTAAGCCCTAGATGTCTCCACTAAGACTCTGTTTTCATGACTCTCAACGAAACAGAAAATTTATTTTTCCTTCTTTTGTCCTTCATCTTTTCTTGTTCATTCTCCATCTTACATAGTTCTTTTCTCTGAGAGATTTATCTAATATCCTCTATCTGTGTTGTAGTGCTGTTACATTCTGTTCCAGAAAAGCATATTGCTTGAGACCAGTAAATCCAAATTCAACAAAGAGTGATCCTTACATAAACCTCCTACAACTTCGTTGCATTCCCCACTAATCTTTTGTATCAGTGTAGCCTTAATCTGTCTGATCCTAGAGACCCAAGTACACTTTTAGCTCTTTTGTGGTCTACACACTGGATAGACTATCTAGTTTGTTAAATATGTAAGTTAGTAAAATATGTGCTTACATTATGTCACAATTTCCAAGATTGTTGTTCTCTTTGTATGCTAGATGACAGAGTCCATTGGTGATTGGAGTATGAAGTTTTGGCATTGCTAGTGTACAATGTAGACAAGGAATGTTATTTGAGGAGATTTCCATTGTTGATTTAGCTCTTGATTTTTCAAGTGTTCAGGTACAAAGAATCATTTGTTAAAGCATTCTTTACATTTCAGTGTATGGTTTTGCTTTCTTAATGTTTTCCCCCAAATTATCATTGCTTTCATATTCTAACTGCCTTCTGTTTCTTAGGTTTGGGCGGAAGTTGATTCTCAGGTGCTGTTTGCTCCAGCTCGCCATCTCTGGGACCTGTGTAGCCTTTGCCCCCACCTTCCTCATTTACTGCTCCCTACGCTTCTGGTCAGGCTGTTCTGCTGTGGTCATCATATCAAATAACAGTATGCTCAGTAAGTTGACAATTTCGATCTCTTCCATTTTCCAAACCTTAAATTTGATCTTGAAATTTCTTCATCTAACATTACTACCTCAATTGTGTTTCTTTCAGTTATAGAGTGGACCAGATCCCAGTCAAAAGCCACGGTAATAACCCTGGCGTCCTGTGCCCTTAGTATTGGACAGATGATGCTTGGAGGACTGGCTTTTGTCTTTCGAGAGTGGCGCACCCTGCAGCTGGTGGTGTCTGTACCTTTCTTTGTTTTCTTTCTGTCCTCAAGGTAAAATCTTCTCTCTCATTCTGACTTAAGGGAACTGGGGTGAAAATGCATATTGAATTGCAATATATTGACTTCCTTATTCCCTGGGCCCTTTTTTATTGTTTGGATATAAAACCCATGTTTCTCATCTGTTCATCCTATACACTTTGAGATTCCAGGAGCAGCTTTGTTGTTGTCATTCACTTGCTAAGTCACGTCTGACTCTGCAGCCTCAAAGACTGTAGCATGCTAGGATCCTTTGCCTTCCACTGACTTCCAGGGTTTCCTCCAATTCATGTCTATTGACTCAGTGATGCTATCTAACTATCTTATCCTCTGCCTTCCCTTTCTCCTTTTGCCTTCAATCTTTCTGAGTATCAGGTCTTTTCCAATGAGTCATTTCTCCACATCAGGTGGCCAAAGAATTGGAGCTTCGGCTTCAGCATCAGTCCTTTCAATGAATATTTAGGGTTGATTTCCTTTAGGATTGACTTGTTTGATCTTGCTGTCCAAGGGACTCTCAAGAGTCTTCTCCAGCACCACGGTTCAAAAGCATCAATTCCTTTGGTGCTCAGCCTTCTTTATGGTCCAGCTCTCACATGCGCACCTGATTACTGGAAAAACTATAACTTTGACTGTATGGACCTCTGTCAGCAAAGTGATGTCTCTGCTTTTTAATATGCTATCTAGGTTTGTCATAGCTTTCCTTTCAAGTAGCTAGTATCTTTTAATTTCATGGCTGTAGTTAAAGGTCAACAGTGATTTTGGAACCCAGGAAAATAAAATCTGTCTCTGCTTCCACTTTTCTCCCTTCTATTTGTTATGAAGTGATGGGACAAGATGCCATGATTTTAGTATTTTTGAAAGATCTAGGTAAGATTTATTGATCAGATTGTTTTAGAAAACCAACATAAAAACACTAATAAGATATGTCAATACAGATTGGACATTTTAGGGTAAATCCACTATATTTCCTACCTACTTGTAGGTAACTAGGTAAGGTGGAGAAACTATCCTGATCATAAGACGTGCACATCAGGCTGCAAAAGGACTTCCACACTATTTAACAGAACCGTGGTAAATAGCTTTAAAGTAAGGCAGGCATCATGTGTCGCCTAAGCAAACCCTATACCAAGAGTTTTTTGAAAGTTGAGTTTCAAGCCAGGTTTTTCACTTTCCTCTTTCACCCTCAACAAGAGGCTCTTTTGTTCCTCTTCACTTTCTGCCCTTAGTGTGGTATCATCTGCATATGTGAGGTTTTGATATCTCTCCTGGCAATCTTGATTTCAACTTGTGCTTCACCCACCCTGGCATTTTGCACAATGCACTCAGCATATAAGTTAAATAAGCAGGGTGACAATATACAGCCTTGACATACTCATTTCCCAGTTTTGAATCAGTCCATTGTTCCACGTCCAGTTCTAATTGTTGCTTCTTGATCTGCATACAGGTTCAGGGACAGGTAAGGTGGTCTGGTACTCCCATCTCTTTAAAAAATTTCCACAGTTTGTTGTGATCCACACAGTCAAAGGCTTTAGCATAAATGAAGCAGAAATAGATGTTTTTCTGGAACTCCCTTGCTTTTTCTATGATCCAGTGGATGTTGCCAATTTGATCTCTGCTTCCTCTGCCTTTTCTAAACCCAACTTGTAAATACATTTCTAAGTTCTCAATTCATGTACTGTTGAAGCCTAGGTTGAGGGACTTTGAGCATTACCTTGCTAGCATGTGAAATGAGTGTAATCGTATGGTAGTTTGAACATTCTTTGACACTGCCCTTCTTTGGGATTGGAATGAAAACTGACTGGAGGAAAGAATAAGGAATAACAACAAACTTTTGGCTAGGGGGTTTTAGGTACTTTCTTGGCATCCTTCTTTGTACCTCTTATTAGTATAGAGGTAGTAAAGTTATTTGAAAATTATTTTCCTTAATATCAAATATTGTCTCAAATATTTTAAAAAGATATACTATCAGTTTTTTGGCTTTGAAATTAATATGGTTACAGTAGATTTTCAGTGATTTTCTATGTTGCAGATGAAATTGAATAAAGAGAGAGCAAATATATTCAGAGAGAAGTTTGCCAAAATATTAGCATGATTTCTCCAGTGTGAAAATGGCATGCATATTTGGTGCTTTATGTTATGTGTTGAATAATCTCTCTTTCCTTAAGTAATTTTAACAAACATTTTTAAATGAACAAAACATTTTTTAAAAAATTTAATTAACTACCTGACCTATTTACAATATTTTTTTCTATTCTCTTAGAATGGGACTGGTGATGGGACCAGATCTTCGTTTTTTAAATGTTGGGTTTTAAGCCAGCTTTTTCACTCTCCTCTTTCATCTTCATCAAGAGGCTCTATAGCTCCTCTTCACTTTCTGCCATTAGGGTGGTATGGTCTGCATATCTGAGGTTATTGATATTTCTCCTGGCAATCTTGATTCCAGCTTGTGATTCATCTAGCCAGGCACTTTGCATGATGTCCTTGCTGTGGTTAGGACTTCCAAAACTATGTTGAACAGTAGTGTCTAGAGTGGACATCCTTATTTTTTTCCTGGTCTTAGAGGAAAGACTTTCAGTTTTTCACCATTGAAAATATTGTGTGCTGTGGGTTTCTCCTATATGGCCTTTATTATGTTGAGGTAGGTTCCTTCTATACTCACTTTCTGGGAAGTTAATCATAAATGGGTATTGAATTTTTGTCAAAAACTTTTCTGCTTCTATGGAAATTGTCTTACAGCTTTTACCTTTTAATCTGTGACTATGGTGTATCACATTGATTGATTTCTGTATAAGCATTCTTGTATCCCTTGGATAAACCCCACTTGATCATAGTGTGCGATCCTTTTAATGTGCTGTTAGATTCATTTTGCTAGCATTCTGTTGAGGATTTTTGCATCTATGTTCACCAGTGATATTTCCCTGTAATTTTCTGTTTTTGTGTGATATCTTTGTCTGGTTTTGGTATCTGGGTGATGATGACTTTGTAGAATGAGTTTGGGAGTGTTCCTCTCTCTGCAATTTTTTTGAAAGTGTTTGAGAAGGATAGACAGCTCTTCTCTAGACATATGATATAATAGAAATCACTAGTGAAACCATCTGGCCCTGGACGTTGGTTTGTTGGAAGATTTTTGATCACAGTTTCAATTTCAGTGCTTGTGATTGGTCTGTTCATATTTTCTATTTCTTCCTGGTTCAGTCTTGGAAAGTTGTACTTTTCTAAGAGTTTTCCCATGTCTTCCAGGTTGTCCATTTTATTGGCATATAGTTGCTCATAGTAGTCTCTCTTGATCCTGTGTATATTTGCAGTATCTTTTGTAACTTCTCCTTTTTCATTTCTAATTTTGTTGATTTGAGTCTTCTTCCTGTTTGCTTGATGAGTCTGGATAATGGTTTATCCATTTCATTTATTTTTTCAAAAAGCAGCTTTTAGTTTTATTGATCATCACTATTATTTTCTTCATTTATTTATGCTCTGATTTTTATGATTTCTTTCCTTCTACTAACTTTGGCTCCTTTTTGTTCTTCTTTTTCCAATTGCTTTAGGTGTAAGATTAGGTTCTTTATTTGAGATTTTTCTTGTGTCTTGAGGTAGAATTGTACTGCTATAAACTTTACTCTCAGAACTGCTTTTGCTGCATTCTATCGGTTTTGAATGCAAGACCCAGATTTCCCTACAGCCAGTCCCTCCCATCAGGAAGCCTCCACAAGCCTCTCATCCTCATCCATCAGAGTGCAGACAGAATGAAAGCCACAGTCTCAGAAAACGAACCATAATTGATCATATGGATCACAGCCTTGTCTAACTCAATGAAACTATGAGTCATGCCATGTAGGGTCACTTAAGATGGGCAAGTCATGGTGGAGAGGTCCACTGAGAAGGGAATGACAAAGTACTTCAGCATTCTTGCCTTGAGAACCCCATGAACAATATGAAAAGGCAAAAAGGCAAGACATTGAAAGTTGAACTCCCCAACTCAGTAGGTGAACAATATGCTGCTGGAGAAGAGTGGAGAAATAGCTCCAGAAGGAATGAAAAGGTTGAGCCAAAGTGGAAACAGTGCCTGGTTGTGGATGTGTCTGGTGGTGAAAATAAAGTCCTATGTTATAAAGAATAATATTGCATAGGAACCTGGAATCTTAGGTCCATGAATCAAGGTAAACTGGAAGTGGTCAAACACAAGATGGCAAGACTGAACATCAAAATTTTAGGAATCAGTGAACCAAAATGGACCAGAACAGGCAAATTTAACTCAGATGATCATTATATCTCCTACTGTGGGCAAGAATCCCTTAGAAAAAATGGAGTAACCCTCATAGTCAACAGAAGAGTCCAAAATGCAGTACTTGGGTGCAATCTCAAAAATGACAGAATGATCTCTGTTCGTTTCCAAGGCAAACCATTCAGTATAACAGTAATCCAAGTCTATGTCTCAACCACTAATGCTGAAGAAGCTGAGTTTGAATAATTCCATGAAGATCTACAAGATCTTCCAGAATTAATACCAAAAAAGATGTCCTTTTCATTATAGGGGACTAGAATGCAAAAATAGGAAGTCAAGAGATACCTGGAATAACATGTAAGTTTAGCCTTGGAGTACAAAATGAAGCAAGGCAAAGGCTAACAGAGTCTGGCCAAGAGAATGAACTGGTCATAGCAAACACCCTCTTCCAACAACACAAGAGATGGACAACTCTACACATGGACATCACAATGGTTAATACCAAAATCAGATTGATTATATTCTTTGCAGGCAAAGATGGAGAAGCTCTATACAATCAGCAAAAGCAAGACTGGGAGCTGACTGTGATTCAGATCATGAACTCCTTATTGTAAAATTCAGATTTAAATAGAAGAAAGTAGGGAAAACCCCTAGGCCATTTATGTATGACCTAAATCAAATCCCCTTCAATTATACAGTGAAAGTGACAAATAGATTACAGGGATTAGATCTGATAGACGGAGTTCCAGAAGATCTATGGGCGGAGGTCTGTAACATTGTAGGGAGGCACTGATCA